CACTTCGAGGCTCACCAAGTGTTGTGCCTGCCACGAAATCTGCATGTCAACGCTCACCAACTGCTGCACCTGCCACGAAATCTGCACTTCGAGGTTCACCCAGCATTATACCTGCCACGAAATCTGCACTTCCAGGTCCACCAAGTGCTGTGCCTGCCACGAACTCTGCACTTGGAGGTTCACCAAATGTTGCAGCTGTCACGCTGCGCCTGTCACGAAATATGCATTTCAAGGTGCACCAAGTATTGTGCCTGCCACGAAATCTATATTTCGAGGTTTACTAAGTGCTGCGCCAGCCGCAAAATCTGCACTTCGAGGTTCAGCAAGTGCTACACCTGTCACGAAATCTGAACTTCGAGGTTCACCAAGTGCTGCACCTATCACGAAATCTGCATTTGGAGGTTCACCAAGCGCGGCGCCTGTCACGAAATATACATTTCCAAATTCACCAAGTGCTTTGTGTGCCACGAAATCTGCATTTCGAGGCTCACCAAATGCTATGCCCGGGCACCACAACGAAAACGCAATCGTCAGAAATACCCGCCGTCGACAAACAGATTCTGCGAACCTACACGTAAACGACATCGAACATTTTTAACAAATTGTACCCGCACTCCTGTAGGCTTTGCTGTTAAGGAGTATGGGGGACGTGTGCGTGTCCCCTCCTCTGCTGAGGGGGGACCTGTTTGGTGCCTTCTGTAGCACTTGCATGCAATGTCTAGACATGGCATATGCCCACTATCGGCCACAATTCCTTCTGACTTTGCATTTGTGTGTAACGATTGTGACCAGATGCTGACTGTTTTCCAAGGCCTAAACCACATTGCAAACGAATAAGGCAATGATTGCTGCATTCTGTATGCACCTTCGGACACTATCATCTCATTTGAAGCCAACTGAAACTACTTCCGGCCCTCCTTTGGCAAGGGCCGACGTGCCTCTGGAGCACTCCAGATTGTCGCCTGTGGACAGGCATTGATTGCATTCAGCTAGAAGATACTCAACCGCCTACTGTTCATCCATGCACAACATCAACCGTTGTGGATCACTGGGTCGCAGGTGGGACAACTTAAGTGATTCGGTCATAATATGATTGCTAAATGGACAATTTTTTGATGACACTGATTGAAATTTCCAAAAAGAGCGGTGCAACTTGCAACCCGGCCTCGCGTCGCAAGTGACTGCATAATGAAGATGAGACCTCAGGGATCACAATAAAAAACAATCAAGCAAGGAGTGTGAAAACTGGAGGCTGCTTCATCATCCACAGACCAAGCTCGTGTTTTTTTCCACACATTGGGCGTCGAAGGTCTGCACGGTCTGCAGTCCAAAGACCAAAATTCCGTCTGGTCACAAAACCAAATTTCGGTTCGTCACAAGTCACCAACCCTAAGTTCGTCTTTTAAAGACCAAGTAGTGAGCCCTTTGTTAGTGCTCAAGTTCTGGTTCAGCTTCCTGTGGCGAGTTCCACGAAGACATCATCGACGACCCAGACGGCAATTCATTGGACGCCTCAGATTCAGAGGCCACTGGTCTGGACGCCCAACGTGGCATGGACGCCAAGGTGCTTCAGAGGCCACAGGGCTGGACACCCAAGGTGGCCATTGATTGGACGCCTCAGAGGCCATTTCAGAGTTCACTGGACTGGACGCAGAATGTGGCCATTGCCTCGACGGCTGAGAGGCCATTGGACTAGTGACGCTTTGTCCAGGTTGTGGGCGCTTACGCTTACATGGTGGCCATTGCCTCAATGCCTCAGACGCCAGATAAGCGGATGCCCAAGGTGGCAATCGATTGGACGCCTCAGAGGTGGACGCCGAAGGTGGCGACGAGGAAAACGCCAGTGGCCAGTGACCGGACGAAGACGCCATTGGATCAGACCACCAAGATGGCGGTGCCATGTCGTGACCCGCTGCCCAAAATTGATCCAAACATCGGTTGACACGCAGTCACAAATATCACTGAGACAAGGAGCTTCAAGATGAACATACTGCCATATCAAATATTATGACAATTACTCTATTCTGAAAATTCAAACTTCGACAATCTGATAATTCAAACCTGGCATCATGAAGCTCAGTGAGTCATGCGGCATTAGTGGGCCTTGAAGTCTGCCAGAAATTTAAGTCAAAACATGTGGCTGAGATTGCGACAGCCCAAAATCATGCGGCGCGGTCGTCCTGCAGCAACATGCACGTAACCGTGGTGACACTTCTGGAAAAATCAATTAGATCAACAACGATGGGACGTAACCGCTATCTTGGATTTCCTGCCTTTTTTTCTGCGCGGGCACAGCATGTTTCACCCTCTGTTGGGCCCAAACTTAAATCCTCCGATCGTTGGAAGGTCGACCAAAGCAAAACAGGGTGGGAGTTGCTCACCTGCGTTCCTGTGCAAACCTGTCTTTACATAATTAATAACAACAATGACAATCACAATGATAAGAATATTGAAATGTCACGAATGATGACTGCTCACCAAGGAAAACAAAAATGGTGAGAAATGAAACACGCCTCACCCACTTGTCAATTGGCAGTGGCTATCATTACAGAGCTGCTGCTGCTACCGCTCAATGACCATCATCACCTCCTTTTTGCCTTCACGATCCCACAGATCACACCAACAATCTTTTCAAGTAGCCTTTACACTTTGTCTCTCAGGAGAGGTCGGGTAATCCTTGAAGTACGGGTAGTAGCACGATGGGCACGCTCTCTCCCCGACAACAGATTGTAAGAATCAAATTGCTACATCTTTGTTGGGCCATCCGCCATCGAAAGCTGGCATCGTTCAAGTCTAAAGTGGCAGGACGGAGGTAAGAGCTGTATTTAGGGATCGTGCTCAAACCTAGTTCTCTAGCTGTCACGCTTTCTTCGGATCATGGCACATAGGGGTTTCAGCGATTTCTTCTCACATGTGATGCTGTCACAAATTGAAACAAAGAGTTTGAAACCATGTCACATAAAAATTTGAAACCATGTCGCACGATAGCTGAAAGACTGTTTCGGCTGCAACATCCAATCCGCCCATGCATTCGGTCCTGGCGCAGCAGTCGCTTCAGCCCACTGCGTGGCTCCAAACCCTGTAGCAAAAAGGCCACACAGCGAGGCGGAGCTCCATGGACATGTTGCCCTGACTTTGTCACACTCGTTTTTTTCACTAGCTTTGGGGTGAACGGACATCATAGCGCGTTGCGCACGAACCTCATGACTATATAATCTTGGCTTATGCGTGCTTCAACACCTGCGAAACTGCAACCTGCGACACCAACATTCCCGCGTCCCGATTGCAGCCTGAAACAACCGAAAATAGTATTCAAACGACGCTGGAAAAATACTTGAAAGAATCAAAAGGTTCCACAGCAACAGTCGAGAAGCAGCTCAAATGCTGAGTTGACAATGATCTGGCAGCATCAAGGCATGAATTCTCAAACTTAGCAGCATTGAAAACAAATGCACCGTGACAATGACTCCAATGCCAATTGACAATGACTCTGAATGGTTGCAATGAAGTGCACTCCAATGACAATCTTTGCCGTTTCCCACGTGATAAAGAAACTTTACCCACACCCACAATAAAGCCCTTCAAATTCAAAACCCAGCCTTGACTCTGACACATGGGAAATGAGACAGGATCATTATCATCTTCCAACCAGATCTCCTCAAAGGCAGCATGGCAAAATACAAAAGGTCCTCCTAATTCCTGATTATTGTTTACTTCTATCTGCAACAGTCTATTTAGCCCTTCAACAGTCTATTACTGTCTATAGTCACGTTTTCCTAGGGAGTCTTTTTGAAGTAGCGCCTGACATTAATTTTATCTAATTCAGAATGCGGCAAAATTATTGGTCAAGGTTGAGTTCAAAATTTCTGCACTGTTCAATGCCCAGTCAGTCGCCGGCCAGCCTGAAAGCCAAAAGCTCACACGCAGTAGTCTTGTAGACGCAATATCCTTCCCCAGCGAATTCGCTACCAACTCTGCAAGGTTCAAACTAAATTCAAAGCTAATGACGACAACGTTCGGTGCCAAATTCCATCGATTCTGATTTCTTTCAATCTTTAGCCGCTCCATCCCACGAATCTTCGTG